ATTCTTATATTACTCTATTAATTATGTATAGTAATGTATTACAGAACATGTATCAATCTTATGTAATATTTCCATTTATTATGCACCATGTTATGTATGTGAATTATCATATTTACATATTATGTATTCAGCTTGTGAATGCTGGCATCTGTACATGCCAGCGCGGAGTGATACAGAGAGTGGAGATCGCTAGTCCTAACTAAGTCCTTATGGTGTGGAAGACCCTCTGTCTATTGTTCCTCTGTATATCTCCCGTACGAGAATAAGAATCTATTTTCAAGATAACAAGTGTTTGTGTATACCGTCCGTAGTGTAGAACATTTTGGGGGTATCAAAGACAAACATAGACCTCTTGTTACAAAATTTGTCATATTTACCAATGCTACAACTGCCAGGTCTCTCTGCAGTTCTCAGTTCTTCTAGATCAGAGTTCATGATTCTGACTTGATTGTTTTTAAGTACAGCATTGGACAGGCCAAGGTCACGGTCAACATTTTCTTTCTTACATGCCTCATTGGCCAGTCTATCAGCTCGGTCATGATACCTGATTCCATCATGGGACGGAATCCACACAAATTCGATACGAGAGTTGTTCTCATTGGCAGTTATCACATTTCTTTTAATATCACATACAACTTTAGACATAGAACCTGACGGGCTGTTCATTGATTTCAAAGCACTTTGAGAGTCACAGAATATCACCCCACCTCCATTTTCTTTAAGGCAGTCTGTAGCTAAGTAGATTCCAGTTAGTTCAGTTTGTGTTGTGCTGGCCCAGATGTTCAGCCTTTGCTTGTTTAACACTATCATCTCTCTTTCTTTATATATTACAATTGCACAGCCTGTTCTACCTGTGTTTGTCTGCACAGAACCATCAGTAAAAGCATAACATTCACTTGATTTAATACTCTCTATGTGTCTGTTAATAGTTTCTAGTGTGACACATCTCACCACATCGGTGTTTAACATTTGCTTTCTACCAACAGGAGTGTAATTAATAGGAACTGATATATCCAGCCAAGGAGGAATGGCATTAATAGGTTCGTCTGGGGTGATTGGGACATTCAGTTTCAAGAGATCTGCAACACTTTTATGAAACCACGCCCCAAAGAGAGTCTTTTGTGGAAGGTTGGCGAGATGGTCGGGATTACTTAGATAGAACATCAACTCAGTTTGAGCCGTAGTTTGAGAACCATTGTTCTTCAAAACTTTGACACAAAACATGGTATTAAGTAGAACTATCCTCTCAGATAGGGAGGGCAGTCAGAGCTCTTTCCTCATGTTTACAATTCTGGTTGATTTTGGGCAACCTAGAATGATGCGCATGGCTTCATTTTGCACTACCGCAAGGCTGTCGAGTTGTTTAGGCGGAATAGTCACAAGATGGAGAGCATGATAGTCAACTACAGAACGAAAGAAGTGAAGATAGAAAGTACGAGCATAGGTGATGTTAATTCCATAGCCCTTGTCAATAAGGGTTCTGAGGGGTTTAATGCGCTGCATTAGTTTGTCACGAAGGTTGCTGACAAAGTTTGCATTATTCACACAAATTTTAAGATATTTATAGGAGCTACATAGTTCCAAGGGCGTGCTGTTAATGTTATAGTCAAGAGGCAGAGGGTGAGCAGGACGAGGATTGAGGACCCTCGTCTTGTCAACAGATATTATGAGACCACATTCAACAGTTCTCCGAGCAAATACATCCAGCAAGGCTTGGAGCCTGAGTTTGGTTTGTGTCAGAATGCAGATATCATCAGCATAGCATATTACGGCTTCGTTTGGCTGAACTGGAATGTCAGCAATAAGCTTGTGCATAGGACTTAACACTCCTCCCTGAGGCGTGCCAAGCTCAAATGATCTCATTCTGGTACTTTTAACTCCCCTAAACAGAACACTGGCATACCTGTTGGACAGATAACCCTTTATCCATGTCAGGAGGTTACCTTGGATGCCTAAATTAGCTAGTTGCTCAAGTATAATGTCTCTAGCTACATCAAAGGCTGATTTAAGGTCTATGAAGGCTGTTTGTGTCTTATCTTTTGAGTGAACAAGATATTCTGCAAAGCATGTCTGTGTGCTATGCCCGGGCATGAACCCGTACAGATTAGGGGCGAGTTTGTCTTTGACTTGAAACATGAGACGGTTTAGAACAACTCTTTCAAGGACTTTACACATACAGGATGTGAGTGAAATTGGCCTGAAGTTTGGAGAATTAGCTTTAGGGATTGGAACTATGTTTCCATGAGTCCATGTCTTAGGCAGAATACCCTGTGTGAGGCTCATTTGATACAGGTCAAGCAGTGGATGGTTAGGGATCTCATTCAACAATCTCAGGGTGTTATAGGTTATGCCATCCTCACCAGGGGAGGATGACTCACCTTTCATTAGTGCTGTTGTTAGTTCGTGGTGCGTTATAGGAAACTGGTCGGTAAGGTCTGGTGAGGAACAGGCTATTTCAATATTGAAACCCCTATTGATGTATGTGGTGTTAAAATATTGCTGTATGTCAGGAGGCAGGGAAGTGATTTGTGACACACTAGACCATTGGTCTAATAGCATGTCAGCATATTCTGCAGGGCTGTGATGAAGCTGGACTGTGGTGGGTGACTTGATAATGGCTCTAATTTTGTTCCACACTTCTGCTAGAGTGGTTGTTCTATTAATCCCCTGTAAGAATTGTTCCCAATAGGTGTTTCTCACCTGACCTTTGAGTTCACGAAACTCTGTTAGCTTTGAGGAAATGCCAAGAGGTTATCACTAGTTTTATTTTGCTTATAAGTGTTGGCAAGCTGTTTTACATTCTCTCCTTCTTTGGTGAGGATGGGGTCATGTGTCCACAGAGGTGGTTTAGTACTGCCCCCCTTCCTCCTTGACTTAACCCAGGTGGTATAATATGTGGTAATGACATTTACAAGATCACAGCAAAATTCATCCACTGACCCAGGTGTATATCCAGCATACCATCTGTGGATGTAGGCCTTGAAGTGCAGTTTAAGATTATCTGGGATGTTAATTCTGAGCTTAGGATGGGGGTTCACACTTGACATCAGCAATAGTGTACTCAGTAATTATTGCATAATGTTCACTGACTAGGTGGTCTGAGATGACCTTAGCCTTGACATTACTGTCTACTAGGTTATACCCAATCACATAATCTAGTCTGCCCCCCATCAGATGTGTCACTTTGTCTGTGTCGTATACAGTGATATTATGGTTATTGATGTAATTCACGAACACCCTCCCATTAGAGTTACACTGGACATCACCGAGGACATATCCACTTCACTTAAAACTGTAATCAGGGATCCTCCTCTCACACATTGCACTACTTGAACACAGACATAAGATTCTCTGATCACTGTACATGTCGTGGGTATACGTTCCACGAGAATACGAGGTGTATTAAGTTCACACCGATGCATACAAGATATTTCCTTTCAAGTATAGTTTCTGGGTCACTTCCAACACCTCACATAGTTCTGATACATTTATCCTTTTTCCAGATCATTGTTCTCATGTATTTTCATATATCTGCAGAAGTTAGGTTCGCTAAACGTTCACAGACGTAAATAGTATGACCTTCAAACCACGACAACCACACTTAGTCCTAAAGTACACTAGTCCGGATCAACTGGACTTTCCCAATCATCTTATAGATACCTTGAGTTCTCCTTAATGCTATGAATAAATACAATTAATATTATATAACCGGTGGATTGGAATGTTATGTAGCGTAATAGGAATGACAATGGTGTGCGCAGTACAATGGTACTGTAGTATACAATATGATGCCGGTGGTAGTGATGCAGCTGATTGTGGTGGTGATTGTACAGGTTGAAGGTGTGGTGGAGCAGGTAGGAGGACAATGAGGATGAATTACCAAGAATCATCATCGCTCGAGGCGACTTTATAAGTGGACTTGGGCGTGTTGTCTTGTGATCAGGCGAAGTACGGCCGGTCAAGTCAGCCATTAGGTGTTGGTTGTGTGTGTGTGTGTGTGTGAGAGAGAGAGAGAGAGGGAGAGAGAGAGAGAGAGCACAACAAAGAACCATGACCCACACTTCAACAATATAACATGACAATCACATTTGACATCCGCCTCCGCACAGCACCTTCCTGCAGCTTGGGTACAAGTCAAGGGCGTCAGGTAAAATATGTGGTGCTGTAACTGACTGTCTCACATAATCTACAACACATACATAAGTTGGATTCTTACTGTTGTGTGAGAGTGAAACAACGCAAAAGCCAGTTGAGTTAGTAGCTTACTCATATTTAATTAGATACGTTGTGAAGTTACTTGTGAGCGGTGATTAATGACACTGGGAGTTGAAATACCTGAAGCTACACCATCACCGCTACCACCACACTACAAATACCACTACCATTAATACTCACATCATCAACGTTCAACTACCACCACACAATCACTACCACGCCATCACTACCACAATACCATCACTACCACACCATCACTACCAGACCACCACCACCACAATACCATCACTACCGCACCATCACCACTACCGCACCCACCATAACCACTACCACACTCACCACCACCACAATACCATCACTACCATACCACCACCACAACACCATCACAACCACACCACCACTACCACACTCACCACCACCACAACACCATCACTACCATACCACCACCACAACACCATCACTACCACACTATCACCACTACCACATTCATCATCACCACAACACCATCACTACCACACCGTCACCACTATTACATCCTAGCTCCCTCTCACACACTCCCATTCCAAGGACACCCAATCTCCCTCCCAATTTAAAGTTGAGTGTGTAGCTGTTGAGTGTGTAGCTGTTGAGTGTGTTGCTGTCGAGTGTGTTGCTGTCGAGTGTGTTGCTGTCGAGTTTGTAGCTGTCGAGTTTGTTAAGGACAAATTAAATGTTTATTTAAGGTGTCGATCTGAGTTGCCAAGTCGTGATATAAACATCAGTGTGTCTTCAAGGTTCAGTGGTTGACTATTTTCTATGATCAGTCAGTCGACTCGTAGCAACGGTGAGAGTAACAGCGTTCTCTGCAAGTGCATTGGAATAATTTTCCGTCTACGCAACGTCTACGGTCATTATCTGTTCAGGTAAATATCATTGTGATTATTATTTAGTTATATGTGTTTGGTGAAACGTATGGCCTTAAGTTTATTATGGGAAAAAGAACAAAGAAAAGCAAATGATTTATTTGCTTGAGTTACCCCTAGGAGGCCGATAACTTCACCCCACCAGTAGAATAGATATCGTAAATAACTAATACTGTCGTACCCAAAGTGTTAAGTTATAGTACAGTACCACGAAACCACTATATAGGGTTTCAAAAAATGTATAAATGTATGCAAACTGCCTTTGAAATTTTCGTGGAGATCGTGTGAATGTTTGTGTGACTGTACAAGAGCTACATTATCCTCACTTATTGATGTGTGAAGTCGCCTGCAGGTGAGGACAATGTTGCTGTTATAATACAAACTTTCACGACAGAGATCTTCACGAAATATGTAAGGCACTTAAAACTACAGATACAGCTGAAATATTTATAGGTACAAAAGTCAAAAGAACAACGCAGTTTAAGTGAAATATTCTTTAGACCTTGGTAGTTTATATACATTAAGGCACCCAGTAATAATATACGAGCAAGTAACTTTTCACGCGTCCCGAAATCTTACCTGTTGTTGATAACGCAAGAGTGTGAGGTGACAAGTGGTATAAGGAATTAAGATAAGATATAGCAAGGCCGGTTGACGTTGATGTTATTACTGTGGTAAAACAACTAAGGTTTTTAATTACGTAACAAACTTATTAATTACGCTAGGCCATCAAACAACGAGGATGGCCGGCCCAAGGGCCACCTAGGGGTGAACTTGTTTAAGGTGTAGAAGCTGTCGCCAACACAACAACCACACCCTGAATTAACGAGCTGCATGACCAAGTGTCAAGGAATAGTCCGAGAAGACCGGACAACTCGCTAACAGCACTGGCTAACCATTACCCCGGAACACGATCCGCAAATCGATTAACATCCAGGTTCCCAATTACTGCTGGGTAGACAGAGACAAATGGCGTAAAGAAACTTGCCTATACAGTAGTTTCACTCTGCCCAGGGATCAAACCCTTGCGAGGCGAGCATGCTGACCATTACACACACACAAATTCTCTCTCTTCCCCTTACTCTGAATTCTATACAATTTTATGTATACACAAGCACTTTGGTACTCCTCATTCTACTACTACTAACACCATAATATCGACTACTACTCCAGACTCGGAGTGGACCATGGCTGACCACCAGGAGGGCCTTACCAACGTGGACGCCTGTGAGTCCATGGACGACTCGCTTATGCAGAAGAAAGAATGGCATCTAGGTGATTGGGTAGAAATGTATGACAAATATGTAAGTAAAATGGGCATGATGTATATGAATTTATAATGTATTTAATTTTTATATGTTAACTAAGGAAGGTATAAAACAGGGACGGGATCATGGGTCACTGAAACACGTATACTGTATATGCTGATACAAACACAGGTGTAGATATACAGATACAAGGTTGATTGGAATGCACCAGTACACGTACGGGTACAAACATTGGAGGCTTATAGTTCATGTTTCGTGTCATCTGTAAGGCATTTCTCTTCCCCAATTCTTCCATCATTCTATCCTGCTCTTACAATTCCTCCATCAGTTAAACCTCTTCTCATCTACCACTTCCACTGCCAACACCGCCAGTACTACCACCACCATTATCACCATCACTACCATCACCAACACCGCCACCACCATCTCCATCACCACCCTCATTACCGCCACCATCACCCTCACCACCTTCATCACTATCACCACTACTACCATTGTACACTCACTTCCACTTTTACAGCCATCCAGTAAAGCCAAAGGAGGGCCGTCTGAACAATTGGTGAAGTATGTGAAGGAGCTCTTGCCGTCTGAGCCAGCCCACGTACTGGTGCCTCTGTGTGGGAAGTCGCCCGATCTACGATGGTGAGTCAAGGAGTGTTCTGTAACACTTGTTGTAGCATTATAGTGGATTCTAATAGTCTAACTCAGCGGTTCTTAACCGGGGGGGGGGGCACGCCCCCAAGAGGTCCTGAGTAATTTCCAGGGGGGGTGGGGGGAACCCAGAGCAAAAATAAGGAATGGCTTTAACGGGTGTGTGTGTATGTCCCTAATTGGATTTTCGCTCCCCACAGATAGTTCAAAAAGTCGTAAATGGTAAATACATAAATCAAAATGTAAAATTCCACTCAATGTGACTGAATTAAGGTAGTAATAATGTCGGGAACTGTACGTCAAGTAGTTCGGATTCCGATGATGTTTGGATCTACGTATCTTTGTGAGGCTGCATTTTCTGCACTGGTTTGCTGTCAAGACCAAATACAGAAACAAACTGAACGTTGAAGGGGACTTGCGCTGTGATCTCTCTGGCACGCGGCACGTATTCAGGATCTGGTAGCTCAGAAGCAGTGTAAAAAATCTCACTACATATGTTGTGTATTAACGAGTTGCTTATACAGACTCTTTTGAGTAATTAAAGCTATTACAGTAACGAATGAAAAACTAGTTTCTCAATTTTCCTATTTAATTCAAGAGGAAATTGTTTTAGACTTTTTAGATTTAGAATTTTATTTGAAGGAAGGAGGGGAGCATGGGGATGAGGACCAACTGCTATAGGGGGCGCGACCCTAAAAAGGTTAAGAACCAATGGTCTAGATGGAGTTCACGAAGCATGATATAATAGTAAGTAGAGTTGGTGAAGCGTGGTCTATATTAAATAGAGTTGGTAAAGCATAATATTCGAGTATATAACGGAGTTGGCAAAACATGATAGTGTGTCTAAGTGCTCTACTAGATTTACTGTGAAGCGGGTGTTCGATGACGTGGCTTATAGTACTGTAATCTTAACTATGGAACTTATAGTCTTTATGACACTAATGACCATTATATAAAATCTTCTCTGTTTTAAGAGTTTCAGGATTGATACTCCTCAGAATTTGGTATATTTTGGCCTTAATTACTAGGATTTTACAGATAAAGTTTGTAATATTTCCCGGACAAACTTCGTATGATTTTTCAGATTCAATTTGTATGATTTCCCAGTGTGTATGATTCCTTGATCCCTAATTGCAATATGTATAACTTTTAAGCTATATTGAGCGTGATATTTTAGCCTTAGTGTGTGTATGGTTTGTCGCCACTAGCTTGATAATAATTCAGTCATAACTTTCATGATTTTTTCCCAGGTACCGTTTGCTCCTAAGTCATGATGGTTCGTATTAACTATCAATATTAAGTAATAAAGTCATGCAATTTTATTCACGAAGGTATACACTCCTTAGAGTATCTTCACAGAGAGGTCCGATGAATTTCACAATGAACACTACGACTCCTGTTGTCTCGGTAGTGTTGTCAAAATCCTTCATCCGTTGTGTCATATTTTCTCTTATAAATTTTTAAAGATACATTTTGGAGCGAGTGTTTACATCATTTATAAGGGACAGATACAATATGACACTGATCATTAGGCTTGATGTTGTAGGTCATTATTTTAGTCCATTAGTTGAGGTAGAGGAATCACAAGGTTGTAGGAGAGGAGTACATTTGTGGTGTCCATCTTACCAGACTTCCTCCTTCCTTCCTTAGGCTGTACGAGCGAGGGAACACAGTGGTTGGCCTCGAGGGTGTAGAGAAACCAGTGAGGGAGTTCTACGAGATGTACCCTGACCTCCAGCACTCTGTAGAGGACCTCCCCTTCGGTAAACTCTTCAAGGTACGTTAAGTGAAATCACTTGTAAACTTCCTCAACAAACTCTTATTAATAAAGGTTATTCAGTTTACTACTACTACTACTACTTTTTTTTTTTAAATCGTGGCCTCCAGCCTCCTCCAATAGCCACACCTTCGCCACCATTTATTTACCTTAATATTAAGTATCCTAATACATAAGAAGCTATCCTATCTGTGTTAGATTAGTCGAGCCGCAGATCTATGCGGCATTCAGTGACTGTAGCCTCATAGTCAATATCTGCAGCAGTTGTCGGAGTAGGGGCAGAAGCTCTCGTTCCCCTGAGGCAGAGCAAAGCCGACCGAAGGAGAGAGAAGGACAGTCGACATCTCATCCAGGCTGTAACATAACTTCTGGGCTGCTGCTTCTGTTCGGAGATCAACTCCGCGAGTCTGGCTTAGAAACATCTTGCACTTGGGCCCATCCCACCAGAGGTTGTGAACACTAGAGGAGTGAAGCTGCCTTGATCAACGTTTTGAATTCTCTCCCCATATGCCCTTCTCTTGTCGTTCTCGTTCCTTCTATGTGCAGCATCAAGAGCTAGGTTACGGTGACAAGCGGCCATGGGATCAAAAATCCTGATGTCGAAGAAAGCTCGCTGTCCCCGCGTCCAGAATCCTCGAGCACTGACGTCCACACGGGCTTCGTTAGATGTGTTTTTGAAGTCCTGTGTTGGAAGATCTCGCCATCCAATGGAAGGAGGGTCGGCTCTACCATGACGTCCCGGCAGATTTCCTTCAACATATTTGCTGTGAGATCCCTTACCTCGTCATGCCTCATGCATATGAAGCCCCCCTTCTTGCAGACCATGGCGTGATCGCCATCATAGGAAGAGCCACACACGCATTGGGAGGGCAAACCATCTACTGGCCAACCGTACCTTAGAGCAATGGCATCTGTAAATTCTTGTTTGTTAAGGCTGAAACCATTTGCCCTTATCGGTAACGTAGTTAACCAGTTCGAGGCGCCCACCTCCTGCGCTATAGCTACTTTTTTTGTCAAATTTTCTGGAACCTGCAGCAATAGTTGCTGCAACATGTCATTTTGGCAGTGCTGCCGATCTGTTGTAATGGACCTACGAATCTTATTTACTTCGCTGGTATCCACTTCCCCTGTTGCATTCTGGGCTATTATGTGGTCAGTGAGGGCTGCCGTGAGCTTAAGTGAATTTTGATGTTCAGTGTCAGCAATCTCCTCTGGATTAGTTAGTCCCATCCCTCCCAGTCTTGGTGGAAGTGCAAGAAGTGTTCTTTCTGCTGGGGTTAAGTCAGGGTGTTTCACTAGTTTGGGAATGAACTTGACACTGATAGCTTCTTCCAGAGGGTGGAGGAGGGGTCCAATCTCAGGGATGGTACGCATCAGGTAGTTCCAGCGATGCTTGACTCCATGGGTGAATGCTGCAAAGGCCGCATGTGGCTCTGTGTTAGCAATCTCAGACAGAGCTTGGATTTCGCTAACCCACTCATTCACCTTTCCCGCTACGTACTCGGTCTTGAAGTCCGTAGTGCCAATTACTGCGCCTAGATGTCTTTGGCCGTCCTTAGTTATTTTGACCTCACTTCCGCCAAAAACCTCCAATGCCCGTTCATAATGTTCTGGCTTCACGATGAGGAAGGACTTGCTGGCGTTTGGGTGGTACCCTATTTGTGGACCTCGCGATGTTACCAGGTCCCACCACTTTTTGATGCACTCCACTTTTCCTGCTCCTGTAAGGTCATCAGCATATGCCACTTGTTTGACCCCAGTTGTTTCAAATTTTATTTCTTGTTGGAGCACTGATAGGCCAATTGCATACATTGCCATTGCAACGGGGTCCCCCTGTGTTGTTCCCTCGGTCGACTGTAGGATGGTATCACCTCGTAGAGCCTTGTTGTTTACTATGTAGAGGTCTGAAGGATTCCTATACGAATTTTCAACATACATCGCAAAGCTTGGGCACTCGATCTTGATGTTGTGCAGTGCAGCCTTGCAGTTAAGTATGTTGAATGCGTTTGAAGCATCCACCAGGAGAACGGCCTCACAATCACGCTGCTCAAATATCAATCTCATGGCGTGAATGGCCGCCTCCCCACCAGCCTAGTGGCCAGCACACACTTGTAGGTTCCCTGCTGCTGCCCTGACATCATCCTTTACCACCTCCATTATGCACTTTCCGATGATCCGCCTCAGCACTTCCCCCACCCCTATAGGTCTACATCCTGGTTTCTTATCCAGGGGAATGAGGCGGCAGGCTGTCAGGGCCTGGAGGTGTTGGCAGCACGAGGATGCCAGCTTTCTTGCAAGGACGGCAATGACAGTGCAGAGATCACTTGCTACGGGGCCAAACTTGTTAGTGCTGAGGATGACTGTCCAACCTTTTGCATCCAGACCTGAAGGGCCGGCACCTCCCCGAGTCTTCAGTGCCTTTTTCCACACCATCCCTCCTGTTATTTTCTCGAACAGGACAGTATTTGGTGGGATATAGTCATCCTGGAACCTGATGCCTTCGTCTTCACTTGCAGGGGGATGTTTTTCTATCAGTTGTTTTAATGTCTCTCTGTTTATTGGCAGAACCCCACCGGAGGATTCCTCTGTGAGAGATCTTACCTCCAAAGACACTTTTCCCACACGCATTTTGTTTCCAAACTTTCTTGCAACGTCATCGGTGTTTTGCTTTCCGTCTCCTATAAATTTTAGTCTCTCCTGCAGTGTTCTTGCTTCACATAGGAGATACTCAAGGGCCCCATTCTGCCACATTGTCAATCTTCTCTTCATTGCTGCCGCATTTTCTTTGTGCTTAGTTTTGTGTGTGTCCTCTGACACAATTGTTGTGGTATTATTGCCAGTATTTGAAGAGCTAACGGGGCAAGGAAGCAGTCCAGAGTGCACTCAGTTATGAGGCGAATCATCTCCTGAATCATTTCTTTGGTGGCCGCACACTTGGATAGTTCAAACAGGTTAGCTGGCGACCACCTGACAATTTTTGAGTAAGTTTCTTTAACTCATATGTCCGCATTTTCCATCGAAATGCCATTCCACTGTGGTGGCTGTATCTCATTCACCTCGTGGACATCTGCTACTATTGGAGCAGCGTTTATTAGTACTACATTTTCTAAACTTCACTCTTAAGGTTTCTCTCCCCCACTTTGTTGTCTAATTTCTAGCTTTCTTGAGAACCGATCCATGGCAGTTGCTATCGAGGGATCGATCTCTTGCTCTTTCTCTACCAATAGTGGTGTTCCACGGGGTTCTGTTCTTCCACCTACTCTCTTCCTTTTTTTATCAGTGATTTACTTCACACTACTACTAATTCTATCCATTCTTACGCTGACGATTTTACTCTTCACTCTTCTCATTTTTCCCTTCCCCCTAACTCTCAAACTTGATCTGTTTCTAGAGCTGATATCGTTTCATCTATCAGTGCGGATCTGTGCATCATCTCCGAATGAGGAGGTAGAAATTTGGTAAAATTCAATAGTAAGAAAACACAGTATTTTCAATTACACTTTCCAAAATAGAAATTCTCTGACCAATCGCATTTCAGGACGCAATCATTCTTCCAAGTTCCAAAATGGATATGCTAGGCCTCACCATTTCCTCTAATATGTCATGGAAGCTACACATCCACAACATTGCTAAAGGTGCCTCCCGAAAACTGGGAATGCTGTACAGATGCCGTAGCTACTTCACACCTGAGCAGTTGCTTCAGATTTATAAGGGATTCATTCGTCCCAACTTGGAGTACTGCTCTCATATCTGAGGTGGCTCTTCTTCTGTCCAACTGTTAGATAGGGTGGAATCAAAGGTATATTACCTTATTAACTCTCCTCCTTTAGTTGATAATCTCTCTTCCCTTTTTCTTTGCTGCAATGTTGCTTCTCTCTCTCTCTTTTACAGGTACTTTAACGGGCAATGTTCGGTGGGTTCGGTGTCCTGTGTAGTTTCGCCAAGGCTGGGGCTCGTAACACTCGTTTTGCCCGTGGTGCCCACCGTTTCTGTGTGGATGTCGGTTACACTAGAATAACCCGTTAGAGTACACCTTTCTTTCCTCGCACAGCCAAACTGTGGAATGCTCTGCGTTCTTCTGTGTTTCCATACTTTTACAATCTGTCTCACTTCAAAACGCTGGTTTTCCGGCATCTTCGTGGTGTAGATTAAGAGCCAGTGCATGCCCAGTATCTGCCAACAGTGTGTATCAGAGACGTGACCGATCGCCCAAGCGACTAACGACCCGATCAGTGGCGAACAGGATAAAAGTAAAAAGTAATACTATATAATCTTTTTCTCTTCTATTTTTAAATTTATTTTTACTCATATTTTGTCGCCATCCAGGCCCCGTTGTGGGTCGATGACCTGTGCCCGGGTGGGCTATTCTCCGTAAAAAAAAAAAAAAAAAAAAATGCCTGACAAAGAATGACTGACCGACCAGTGGTGAAGAGCTTAAGAAAATAAGTAAAGTGAAATCACTAACGCCTTAGTTTACATTCGACGAGTCTGGGAACTTGCCAGCGTACCAGATATTGCTACATTAAAAAAATCGCTCGTAAAATGACGCAACCTAACCTAATACACTTTTTATCTTATATTATGTAAAGGAAGACAAGATAAATGTTGCATTACACCGCTGATGTGCTGTTGGCAGAATGTTTTGGTATGATCACTGCAGTTCAGCAATTATGTGATCTTCAGATGCTGGGAGGAAGATTCGTGGAATCATACAATAATATTTAGGTGAAGCTCAAGTTTAGTTAGGCTACAGGGGCGGGTTTCAGAGTTGCCAACTTAGCGACTTTGTAGCTAGATCTAGAGCTTTTTGTTTTTTTCTAGCGACATTTTAGAGCGATTTGCGACTTGTCGCAAATCTAGAGATATCCACAGAAATCTAGCGACTTTCTGGATACTTTTGGACTGTCCATGAAAACTCAGTTTTCCTAATTTCGAGCCATAATATATAGCAACGGGGTTACAGGGACAATAAATAATAAGAAAAGTTTAATACATTTGAACGGGTCGTGGTACAGAAGGAGGGACACGTCTATTTCTGATCACTTGATGTCAGCCCGTCCATGCATCTAACACCCTAAAATTGTGGTCAGAAGTGGTAAATTACAGAGATGCGACAGGAGAAAACCCTTACCATAATCTGGCTGAAATTGCACTCGCTGCCTTATCTCTTCCGCATTCAAACGCAGATGTAGAGCGTACATTTAGTAATATGAACTTTGTGAAATCAAAATTGCGCAACAAAATGAAACTATCGACATTAAAGGCAATTCTTACAATAAAGTATGGGTTAAAAAGACAGAACACCTGTTGTGCAAGTTATGAACTTCCTAGTGATATTTTAAGAAAGATAGGGACTGTGGAGGCATACAGTTACAAGAGAACCTGAACCAAGCACTTCACATGCTTCCAGCTCTACAGTTGTTCACACTGCCGACGACTACGAAGAGGACTGGGATGCAATTACTATTGAATAATAGGTAAGTGTGCACATTAAACTTTAAACAAAATACAGATAATATTTTTAATTTTACATAATGCATTTTATTTATACTCCGTCCATTATAGTCGTCATTAGGAAAATATTATTTGCATCAAATTACTGAAGGGGGGGAATAATAGCTAGCGACTTTCCATGGAAGATTTAGCGACATTTAGCTGCTTTTAGGTACCAACCTAGCGACATTTGAAAATCCGAGTTGGCAACCCTGGCGGGTTTAGGAGTTTCAGTAAGAGGTCCAGAGGGGAAAAAGAAGGGTATCCTGCAAAATCTACTATACGAATCAAATACTGTCTCTATTTCGAAGATAAGAAAATCATAATAGCATCGGTGAAGTTAAATCCAGAAGATGATTCAGTGTTTTATAATATCATTAAGGGTTTCGGACACTGTGAGTAGAGGTGATTTGTCGGTCTCATGAACCTACCAACCAGCCCAGAAAATGGATGTGATGTACTGCATGATCTTCTGAGTCCTGTGATATGAGAGATGTGTTTTGACTTTCGTGTTGAACTGTTGCAAGACTCGATAGAAAAGGAACTGACCTTCATCCCGTCTTCAGAGTAGTGATGGGCGGCTGCAGGTGTACGTGTGTGATGTAACGCAGGTGCCTTCTGAAGCCTTGGGCAAGTTCGATGCGGTGTTTGACTGGGGAGCCTACACCGCCATAGTGGAAGGGGATAGACAGAGGTACAGTAGCTCACCCAGGTGCTCCTCTACTCTTAAATATATATATATATATATATATATATATATATATATCTTGATAAAATCACACGGGAAAATGGAAACAACGGAGCACCGTAGCTTTCCATTGCACAGAAACTCGGGTACCCTTCTGTGTTTGTTGATCGTTGTTTTAAAAGGGCTAAAAAATCCTTTCATTCCTCTCAAACCAGACAAGTTCCTACACTTAAGAATATTTTGACTCTGCCCTATCGTAATGAATTTGTTAGTTCGGTCCCTCAAGCTTCTAAATATTAATGTTGTTTTCAAGTATGACTCAACCATTACCAATATGTTAATAAGGAATAGCCCAAGTTTGAATGTAAATGGAAGTGTTTATTGTATTCCATGTAGCAAATGTAATTGTAATTATGTAGGACAGACAGGAAAACACTGCAGCTCAGAATCAAACAACATAAGTATAATATCAGAACAGCATCTGAAAGTAGTGCCTTGTTCGTTCATGTTAGGAATAATAATCATCCCATTGCTTGGGAAAAAAGCTTAGAAGTATTTAAATCATCTTGTGTCACAGAAAGACTTCTGGTTGAAGCTAGTTTGATTAAGGAATTAAAATCAATAAACCTTAGTGATGGTCAGTTCAAAACTGATAATATGTTACATAAATTTATTTGTCAGTGGCCCAAGGTTAAAAATGCTTTGAAAACCTTTGAACTAGATGTATGATAATTATTTTGTGGGTCCCTTATTTTTGACCTGACCTGACTAGTCACGTCACCCCCCTTCTCTTTAGCTCCTCTACGTGTGTGTTGGTGTGGGGATTAGTGGATGACATCATTATGACCTGACCTCATGTTTTTAAGGTCACCCTGTATATTTAAGCCTCTCTCTGTCCATGTAATCCAGTTGCCTCTGAAGATGTCTTGAATAAAGACGAAAGCTAAGGTGCTCCGTTGTTTCCATTTTCCCGTGTGATTTTATCAAGATACATATATATATATATATATATATATATATATATATATATATATATATATATATATATATATATATATATATATATATATATATATATATATGAGATTCCAGCAAGTATTCCGCATTTCTCTTTAAAGTTTATATCAAATTGTAAAGACATTGCTTATAGTATGTCCAGTTATAAGATTTTTATTTGCTTTCAGTGTTTTATTTGTAAATTTTATCACTAAAAATACCTGACGAGCTTGTGTCCTTAAGTCACTCAATGTTGTTGCTTCTGCATCGTGGTGTTGTGTCCGACGACCAGCGAGATGATGATGATAACAGCTCAGTCATGTTTTATAATGTTGCACTTTATTAAAATAACTTCCTCTTAAGTTATACTTTCACCGAAATAAATCAGACTTTCCATTAGTTATTTCTTATAATTTTGGTTATTTTCCTTTAAATGCATCATACTGAATTAGTTTCTTTAGGGAACAGTGTGATCACCCTTCAGGTAACAGTGTGGTCGCCTTTTAGGTATGTGGACGTGGTGATGGCGACGATGAAGGAGGACTCCAGGTACTTCCTTGAGGTGTGTCATGACGGGCCCCCAGAAGCTACCGGCATCCCTAACTCCGTCTCCTTCAGGACCTTAAAGCTAGAGTTTGGTGAGAGCTGAAAGTGAGAAGGAGGGGTGAGGAGAGGGATAGGTGATGGTAGCTGAGGAGCAGATGGGGGGAGGGTCAGGGAGTGGGGTAGGTTAGGGGGAGGGGCAGGGAGAGGGTTAGATTAGGGGGAGGGGCAGGGAGTGGGATCAGTGCTGGATTTAGACCTGTGGAGGCCCATGGGCAGCCTCTTTGTGCAGGCCCCCCCTCATTATAACTACCCAAGAGGGTGGGGTGGCGAGTGAAGCGAGCCTAAACAGCTGGGAGTTCCGGGGGGCGCTGTAAGCCCCCCGGGAAAATTTTGAAATTTGAACACTTCTTTGGAGAATTTTGAAGCCATATGCAGTTATATTGAGGAAATTATAACACAGCGCCCTGATGGCATTCATAATGAAAGTGATAATGAAAAAAATATTTTATTTTATTTTTTAATCTCAATTTCGTTATTCCATGTAGTTCATTTTTAATCAATATATGTTTGTGAAATTCTAAATATAATATTAGCAACAAAAACAATAGCATTCATTAAAAATATACGGTTCATAGGAAAACCAGGTATTCATGAATTTCAAGGAGTAGCTAGCCTAATTTCTATCACGCGTCTTGCTGAACATAGTTTTACGTGATGGAATAGATAAACATGAATTTTAAAGAATGAAAATAAAAATAATCCAAATGAATAAACAAATAAATAAAATATTGCAATATGTGGAGGCCCCTGGGCAGTTGTCCACTTTGCCCACTCCTGAGTGGGGTAGGTTAGGGGGAGAGGCAGGGAGTGAGGTAGGTTAGGGGGAGGGGCAGGGAGTGGGGTAGGTTAGGGGGAGGGGCAGAGAGTTGGGTAGTTTTTTTTTTAGTTTTTTTAGAGAAAGGAGGGAGGGGTGAAAGAAGATTAGAGGTGGGTGAAGGAAGTTATAGTTCGGAAATTGAAGAAATTTAGGAGGAGCTAAGAGAGGGCGAGCTGACCGCCTAGCTAAGCTAATAGTGTGTTAGGGTTGTGTCATGGGTTAGTTATTGTCTGTCGGTACAGGCACTAGACATCCTACTCTGTCCCATATATGGGTGTTTTAAGGGCCTTATTTCATATTCCGCCGACCCTACTGGCAGATGCTCGTCTAGGGAGGTTGTCTATTGCCTGGCCGTGTAGATCGGGGGTGGTAATGGACCTTTTGAGATTTGGTAACTTTTTGGGAACCATGTATGGTTGTTGTCGTTATCTGGTAGGAGTCTTTGAAGGAGTTCTTGCTCTGATCGTTCTATCTTTTGCCAGACTCTGCTGGCCAGGGTGTGCAGCTGCTGGTTGATGGGTTTCATTCTCAGGTCTCTATGTATCTCGGCTGTGGTTCTGGTGAAGGGGGAGGGGCAGATAGTGGGGTAGGTTAGGGGAGGGGAGATAGTGGGGTAGGTTAGGGAGGCAGGAGGGGTCGGTTAGGGAGGGGCAGGTGGGTTAGGGAGGGGGGGTAGGTCAGGAGGCAGGGTCAGGGGAGGGCAGGGAGTGGGGGCAGGCCAGGGGAGGGGCAGGGAGGTAGGTCAGGAGGGGGGAGGGGCAGGGAGGGGTAGGTTAGGGGGAGGGGCAGGGAGTGGAGTAGGTTAGGGGGAGGGGCAGGGAGTGGAGTAGGTTAGGGGGAGGGGCAGGTGTAACTTGAGGTATATAAAGAACATTGTGCCAAGAATATTAAATCATTCACCAACTATAATTTACAATGGCGGTCAACACAATTCATAACCCATCACGTCTCTTCTAACGTGACTATCCTCCCGCAGGACCTTCATGGAGACTGAGGGTGTTGGAAACTCTGGACATCAGTGAGGACTGGGAGGTGGAGTCCTTCTTCAACAGTTACTTCCTCATAACTCCCAAGAACTCTCAGTAGATATATGGAGGTTGAGGCCATCAACAACCATAGGAACATAACATCATAAGAATGGAGGAAACTGCAGCTGGTCTATTGGTCCCTACTGGGTAGTGCAGTTGACATCAAACCCCGATGGCTAATATATCCATCCAACCTATATTTGAAGCTATCTAGTGTGTTAGAGTTAATGATGATGTTTGGTAACTTGTTCCACTCATCCACTACTCTATTTCCAAACCAATGTTTACCTATCTTGCACCTAAATCTAAATTTTTCTAATTTGAAACTATTGTTATGAGTTTGCTCCTGGCTGGATAGTTTGAGTAACTTTGTTATATCACCTATGTATAGCCCTGACTTACATTTATACACTTCTATCATATTGCCCCTCACTTTACGTCTCTCAAGGGAGTACAAATAAAGATACTTTAACCTGTCTCTGTACTCAAGGTTTCATCTTTCTAGGGATTATATATCCATTCTGTAGTACAGTCTCACTGTAAGAGCGCGATTTCCTTACTTCATATTCTATACTATCCTTCTGAGTTATTCCTTTTATTCTTCAATTCTTTATATATAAATATATATATATATATATATATATATATATATATATATATATATATATATATATATATATATATATATATATATATATATATATATATATATATATAAACGGTCGGAATTACTGGACATTTATTTCTCACTTTACTTGGGGTTTATTAAATATTATTAGATGGTAATTGCAGTGGAAGCGCCCCCTTGGAGAAAATCCCGAACCAGCACAAGAGCACTTAAATTTTCTAACAAAATGAATTCTCTGTGACCCGTGGAAGGATAGCGTCTGTGATTGGGATGAACGAGACACTGTAAAATTTAGACACTTATATTCCCTCCAACACTGCAGACACAATCAAATAATGGTACACCACCATATGCGCACCTCTTAACCTGAATTTAAAACACTACTCCGGGGAATAAAAATTGTACATGATATTGAAATTATTAGAAACTCAGACAATGCCTCATTAGACAACAATAAATTCAAAGTATTAAGAATTGTTGCTTGCACACACGAAACAGGCCTTAAGGGCTTTCAACAAAATAATATCAACCACTGAGAAAATGGTATTAAAAAAATAAGAAATATATAACTCTACAATGAATAGGCCCTAAGGGCACTCAACAAAATTATATCCAGCACTGAGAAAATGGTATAAAAAATAAGAACTTATTAACTCCACCCTCAATAGGCCTTCAGGGCGCTCCACAAAATTATATTATCCCAACAGATACACACCTCCTAACCTAACTTAAACACTACTCTGGGGAACAAAGGTATAATATCAGAACAGCATCTGAAAGCAGTGCCTTGTTTGTTCATGTTAGGAATAATAATCATCCCATTGCTTGGGAAAAAAGCTTAGAAGTATTTAAATCATCTTGTGTCACAGAAAGACTTCTGGTTGAAGCTAGTTTGATTAAGGAATTAAAATCAATAAACCTTAGTGATGGTCAGTTCAAAACTGATAATATGTTACATAAATTTATTTGTCAGTGGCCCAAGGTTAAAAATGCTTTGAAAACCTTTGATCTGGATGTATGATAGTTATTTAGTGGGTCCCTTATTTTTGACCTGACCTGACTAGTCACGTCACCCCCTTCTCTTAAGCTCCTCTACGTGTGTGTTGGTCTGGGGATTAGTGGATGACATCATTATGACCTGACCTCATGTTTTCAAGGTCACCCTGTATATTTAAGCCTCTCTCTGTCCATGTAATCCAGTTGCCTCTGAAGATGTCTTGAATAAAGACGAAAGCTAAGGTGCTCCGTTGTTTCCCTTTTCCCGTGTGATTTTATCAAGATTTATCTTATCCACGTTTTCATTGTGGATCTATGAAATATATATATATATATATATATATATATATATATATATATATATATATATATATATATATATATATATATATATATATAGATTTATATATATATATATATATATATATATATATATATATATATATATATATATATATAGTTATATATATATATATATATATATATATATATATATATATATATATATATATATATTATATATATATATATATATATATATATATATATATATATATATATATATATATATATATATATAGTATGCAAGTAAATCACTGTAGGTGCGCGTGATCCTGGGTATATGCTGATAACCACAAGGAAGAAAGAAAAACACAGGGTTCCCAGCACTTTCGTGTAATTCCATCTTCAGGGGTGAGTACAGACAAGAGAGAGAAATACAAATCAAGGTGTATATATACAGAGGAGGGTGAGACCAGGTCCACAATGGTGGACCATTGTGGACCTGGTCTCGCCCTCCTCTGTATATATACACCTTGATTTGTATTTCTCTCTCTAGTCTGTACTCACCCCTGAAGATGTGAATTACACGAAAGCGCTTGGGAACTTCGTGTTTTCTTCTTTCCTTGTGGTTATCAGCATATACCTAGATCACGCGCACCTACAGTGATTTACTTGCATACTATATATATATATATATATATATATATATATATATATATATATATATATATATATATATATATATATATATATATATATATATAAGTATCTGTCTTATATTTCTCTCCCTGTAATTTTCAATGTATTTATATACAAGTATTGGTATTCTTTATATTCTTCTTTTATGTCCTTATTTACTTACATTTATGAATACTTACACTTATTTTCTGGCTTATATTCTTATATTCTTAGTTATTTCCTTTCTTACTCATGTCTATCTTTTATATTAATCTTTCCTGGTGTATATTGTATTGTTTCGTGATATTATGTTGTCTAGCACTCAGGATGGATGGAAACTCTAAGGTGGTGGTTTTCTTATGTAATATAAGTTATATGGTAGACAGTCTGGTGCTGGAGATGCCGTGTGGTGAGGAGCTGCTCAGTAGACACGTTCGCTGTGTAGCGTGTTGAAGGAGGTAGATGTGCAGGAGCTTCGTTAGAGAAGATGTTGCCTGTTGCTGGCCTCCAGGTTGAATGAGAGCTGGACAGCGAGGAGCTTGCTTGGAGGAGGTGTTGCGTGTTCAGGAACCGTGAGCAGAATAAGAAAGCTGGTTGGTGAGGACGCTCAGAGAAGGGCAGCTGGTGGGTCGCCATGCTCGCCGGCGGGAGCGAGGACCGCCAGGCAGGCGGAGGAGAAGCGAGGGGCGCCAGGCAGCGGCGGAGGAGGAGGTGTTGCGTGTTCAGGAACCGAGGCCAGAATGAATCTTAATGGAGAGACAGAGCTTATATACACAGCCGCAGGAAGTAAACCCGCCGGTTTCTCGACTCCGTTGCTAGGGAAGACGTAGCAGGTGGCTGGTTGCTAGGATACTGTGGCATCTGGTGACGCCTCCCCTTGGGCCGCTCGTTTGGTTGCTAGGATACTGTTGCATTGGAATGCGGATATGCAGTTGTAGGGGAGACGTCCACTACAATATATTTAGTAATTTTCTTATGCTGGGTCTTTAGTTCCACAGTGTATATATATCTCTTACATTTCTTTGCTTATATTTTCCAAGTCATTGTTCTCTTCTGCTATTCATTTCTTTTTATATGGTATTGTATTTTCTGAATTTCAATGTCCTTACCTTGGGGAAAAATACCCTGTTTTTACTTATATTCTGATACATGGGTTAGTCTGGGGAACCATGTCTTTCTTAGTACAACACTATTATTCTTACAACGGTAGCCTGCCACCACCCAAACTTTTATGAGAATAACATGTTTTAGTGCACTGCTAGGTAGAGTGGTAGAGAGGTTCCAGGCACGTGAGTTACAAGGTTATCTTCTGAGAACCAATGTTTAGAAGGAATAGAGTGGTGATACTCATATTTTACTAATTTAATATTTATTAACATAAGGAGTGATAAAGATGTTAATTTTCATTCAGACAGAATTGGATCCTCACGTCTTACTGTACCATTGATAAAATAGATCTGCAATTAATTATTACTACTTTAAACAACTTCAAGTACTTATTATATCATTAAACAACTTCAATTACTTAGTACATCATTAAACAACTTCAATTACTTTCTACATCATCAAGCAACTGTTGTAGTATTTCTTTGCCAAATAAAATACAGTAGTTATTATACGTTCAGACAGGACTGAACCCTCAGGTCTTACTCTACAAGTAACAAATTACATCTTCAATTCTTGGTTACAACATTTAACAATCATTATATAATAATAATAATAATAATAATTAATGGTTTACTGAAAGAGCATGGCAGCCAGAAGAATGAAAATATACAGTTACATAATTGGGGAATGGGTTTCGATTTACAAATAATATACAAATAACATAAGTGATACAAATAAGATATATAATAACTAGATGGGGAAAAGCTCAAACTACAGGGTATTTCAACATAGTGACAGTGCAAGAAGTAGTATTTACTGGGAGTGAATACACTGGTTTATTACAAGTTATTGATAATTTTTACAATGGTTGGGACTGGGCTGTTCTTATAGGGATCAGTTCGTGCACGTATGGGCTGGATGCGGTTGTGGTGTCGAACAGCAATTCTCGGGCTAGGGATCTCTGGTGTTAGTAGGAGCCGGTGTCGAGGATGGTGCAGAAGCTTCTTACCAGATTTGCAGATGAGGTCGTGGTGATGGTCAGTGAGAGTCGAAAAGGTCAGTGTGTTGAGCGCGTCTTGATATGTGGAGTAGGAAGGGGAGAGAATAATTTTGCATGCCCTCTTTTGCACTTTTTTTAGGTGTTTATGTTGTGTGGCATTTAGTGAGGAAGATCAGGTCGGGGAGGCATAGGTGAGCTTGGGAAGTATGAATGTTGAGTAAACACTGAGGAGCTCTGGAGCAGGAACTCCGAGGGACTTGAGTCGGCGGAGGAGGTGGAGACGGAAACTGGAGGATTTGACAACTTCACTGATGTGTGGTTTCTAATTTAGTTTGTTGTCTATGGTGACGCCGAGGAGCTTAGTGGAATCTACAACCTGGAGTGTGTTTGGACCTAAAGAAATGGAAGGGGGTGGGACAATGTCGGAGGAGAGGTTGATGTGCATAACCATGGTCTTGGTATGGTTGATGGTGACGTGGTTGTTGGTGGCCCAGTTTTGGAGACTGTTCAATAAATCCTGAAGGGCGGTATAGTCGGGAGCAGAATTGTTGACGCTGATCCTAATGGTGGAGTCGTCGACATATTTCCAGCGGTGACCGGATAAAACCCCAACGGACAAAACTCCAGTCTCATATATAAGATATAAAATAAAACACTTTTATGCTTAGGTTAGGTTAGATTAGTGTTGATAAATGACAACCCCGTTGGGGTTTTGTCATGGAACCATTTCCAGCGAGCAGGGGTTTCTCTTAGGGCATCACTGCAAGTGGGTAATATGACACACTTGACACTATCCCGAATTAAAATATTCTATATAACAACATGCTATTTCGGAATGAATAACATGGCACTTTAACTAGTATTCAATGGTTTGGTGGACTCAACTCCGATAACAACAATACCACTGGTATGCCAACATTCATGGGTTGAATACTTAACCTGTGATAATTATATGTCTGCTAATTATCACCAATCATATGCAACAACATTAATACTTTACCC